CGACCGGCCACGTCGTAGAAAAATATCCTCGTTTTGTGAGATACCCTGCTACATGTGGACGAGGCCTTGGAGTTAGCAGAAGCAGCTCTAGAAAGCACTCAGACCTGGTGGACTAAGAACAAGGGGGCAGGATTGTATATTCATTCCTCAGCAGGAATGCAGGAGTTCAGTAAAAATTCTTACTAGCCTTTAAAGCTGAGGTTCCATCTAGTTGCTGGGGGGGCTTGAGGCGTATGTCTTCGTATTACAACAGCTTTTACTTTACACCTGCAAGTTTACAACAACCACAAAACACAATAGAAATGGATTTTCACCACGTGGGACCTTTAAAAAGTCTGGCAGCAGCTAAACATTCATTTCATGAGCAAAAATATTCCCGATATACACCAGTATCTGACAGGACGCGCCACGTCGGGAACATTTTCAGAAGCACTTAAGAACTGACATCTGCATGTTGTTACCGCGTACAAGACGAACATCTTGATCAGGTAATTAAAATCTGAAATAGACTCGGAAATTATCTTCACTCACTGAATGTTTGGATCTCTATGTTTTTCTTTCCCCTCCTCTTTTTTTGTTTTTTTGATGCTTCCAAACCTGTGGGGTTTTAACATCACTGGAATCTTCTACCTTTTTTGCATTTCTCCAGTGGCATCTACAGACGCCACGCGCCGCCAGAAGAGCTTCAGTGTGCCTTGGCATTGATTATACAAGTCTCTGTAGGGATGGAGCACAATTCCTCCACAAGATATTTCTTCATTTGGTGTTTTGATGACGGTGCTGGAGAGCGCTGTCTAACGCGTCAGTCCAGAATTTCCCATAGGTGTTCAATTGGGTTGATTGGATCTGGCGAGCGCGAAGGCCACGGCGTGTGATTCACATCATTTCGGCGAACCCTCGCGGCCCGTTGCTGGGAGAGACCGCTCCCATTAAGATAGAACTGTTTCATCATAAGATAAGGGTGATCACATGGAACAGCTTCCTGTTGATGTGCATCGACTCTTGCCTCTAGGAGGACACGTGGACCATGTCTGCAGAGTCCCCACCCTGACAAGGGTTCAGGGTTTTCCTTTAATCCGTTGCCCATGTGTAGATCCACTGCTGCTACCACAGTGGTTGTAGAATGGATGCTGTTTATTTATCGCAGTACATTTTCATTGCAACAGTGACAATGATTGTATGTCCTTGTATGAAAGATATATATTTTTTATTTGTCTCATTATAACAAGATCATGCACAATAAGAGAAACTCTATGAGACATTTCATTGTTACCTGTATCCTCCGGACACACACACACGCTTTTGTTTTCTTCTCTGCAGAATACATGACATTGATTTGCATTTGCATTCCAGATACTGACCTTTCCTACTTGCTCCAAAGTCCACGTAAAGGAAATTCGGGGATTTGTTTCGAAGCACATTACACATGTTACAAAATGACTGCAGAAACCGTGTAAGAAGACGACTACGTGAACAGTTTTTCAGCGTTTTTTTTGTTTAGATTTTTGTAGGAGGGACTGAAATTATAACTAGATGGTGCACTGGAGCTGGACTTTGCATGATCCCTCTACTGACGCCATGGTTCTCCAGTTTAATGGCGTGTTACCATGCCAACTGCAGCCCACAGTACGCCTGCTCGGTATGTATTCGTTCGGCAAATGCGTCTTCCTTGGAAGTTTTTTTAGATCGGCTCGGTCTCCGTGTTTGAATTTCCTAAGACTTACAAGAGTTATGACCCCATAACTTACCACAACACACAAAAAGTTTTCTTCTCGTCCTATTCGCTGAATCAAACATATACTTGAGACATAATGAATTAGTCGCTGTGCGTTTTCCTTTTGCCGCATTTACAGATGATGAATGGTTCAGTCAGTAATTCCGTCCCTTAATGGAACGCGGCTCTTTGAATATCTTTGAATTGTTTGCCTTTTAATTGCTTCCTTAAATTGCTCTTCTCGGTTCATCATTGTTCATCCTGTAACGAAATATGCCGTCTAATCAATTAATTATTCCGTGTAATTATTTATTAAAACTTGATTGCATTTTCCACAGCGACTCCGAGCGGCACAGTCTGTCGCACAGCCGAGGAGAAACGGCGTTCGTTACTGGCGGTTAAAGGACAATATTGCTGCGTGTGGAGGTGAATAATTGAAGGCGTCGTGCAAATGAAATGCTTTGATTTCACAGACTTCAGTCGTATGTCGAAAGTAAAATACAGTTTTAATGCCACAATACAAAGTTTTCGACTACATCAAAGAGTGTACTCGCACACGCATTTGTAGAGTTTTAAAGGCATCCCTGAGAGCATGTTTCTTTTGTTAATGTGACTACAGTGGTTATGAAAAATCTTCCCTTTAATTGGAAGATTTCTTCTTTGATTGCTTTTAAACGTTGATTCGAGGTCAATGTAATTTGGCTTTTTTTCGACAAAAAAAAAAAAAAAGACTTTCATGTCAAAGTGAAAACAGATTTCTACAAACTAATTCGGTGAAAGTATAAAGTGTAAAATAAGCGATTGCATAAGTATTCACCTTCCTTAAAGAAACTCACCTATTTCAACAAAGGTGTAGCCAAATGGTGCCAGAAGTCACACAGTTAGTCAACTGGAGATCATCTGAGTGCAGTGAATGCGTCTCAAGTGATTGTGTGTATAAGGACATCTGTATCGAGAAGATCCGGTCACTGGTGGATCTGAGCTTTAACTACCCCGAGAAGACAAAAGAACACTTCAGGCACCTCTGTGAAAAGGTTCTAGGTAAGCGT